ATATATAAATATGTATTAAACATATGTACTTAAGAGAATGAATATCTATGGAGACAAACATTAAGTCTTCATATAACTGTTGCTGGGGCTTCGTTCATCTGGTCCTGCTGCAAATAGTTGCAGCAACTGGATCTGTCCGAGCAAGCTGTTGCGAAGAAATGAAAACGCTGTGTTTCAGAAGACCTGTTTGTTTAACTGTTCTCAAAGTCCTGGAGTGTCTTTGGAAAGAAGTTAACTGTCCTGTCAGCACAGTGGTGGGTATGCAGTTGGTTGCAGCTCCAGGTTGTTGAGGCATGGTGGTACAAGAAGGCGGAGGCCAGACCCTGGCCAGTGTCCCTCAATCCTGCTCCTGCAGCTCGGGGGGAATTTTTTTCCCTGCTTGGCACCAGCAGGGAATGGGGCCAGTGATCCTCTGGCTCAGCGTCATGGAAGGTTGACTAAAAGTTTGGGATCTGGCTGGGGTTTGTTTGTGAAGGCGTGTGGTTTTGTAAGGGTTAATTTTCTTTCCATAATTGTTCGCCGTAACGTGTATAAGACCTCCACCTTGATATGATTCCTAGCAGATTAGGGATATTAGATAATTTCCTTCTATTTATTGTACTACTGCACTGTATTATCTTTCTATCACTCAGATAATTACTAAGGAAATCTACATTAATTTTTTTTGGCTAGCACAAGGAACTGCTAAACACTGGCATGATGTATTGATGTTTTACACAACAAAAGTTTTCCTCCTGTCATTGTACAATAAATAAAAAGATATTTATCAAAATGCAAAGCCTTTCATGGATTTTAAAGAACAAAGCAAATAAAATACAAGATGAGCATGGAAGCAAAACCTAGAGGCTTCCTTAACTGAACAAAATTAAGGACTCTGAAGCCTGGAGTACTGTACGTATTAAACACTCACATTCAAGTAAGATGTTGTTTGCTAAATTATGAATGTGTGTAATTAAAATCTAGTGGCTGTTTCTATGAAAGATTTACAATGTTATTTCATCGTTTGTCATGGCTAATTAACAATATTAGATGAAGTTTTTCTTCTTCAAAGGTCTGATTTTTTCTCATTTATTTATGTCAGAAGTGATAAACAGAGTAGTTAAAAGCTTCTCCGGGTACAGTAGTGAGGAAAGCAACATGTTCTTTTACACCTCGAAGGTTCAAGGTTCACATCCCTGCGGAGTAAAGCAACTCCATCTTCTTTCTAGTAAGAATAATTAAAATTTTCAAAGTGCAGAAGTAGCAGCCTTAAATACAGCACGGAATAATTCCGAACGTAACAAAGTGTTGTGGGGCTTGATGGATGAATAAGAGAGAGTAAGTATAAAATACCATGAATTAAGCCAGCCGTATTGCCTGAATAGTTGAGACGAGCCTTGCACGAGCAAACAGAGCAGGGTGCACAGTTGTTTCTCCTTCCCCCTAAGCATGCTGGGATCGTGTGCCGCGATTCTCGCGTTGTACATGTTCTTGGCCTCAAAGAATTGCCCAGGACTGTAGCAGCTGCCAGCAGCGTTCGCTTTACCCACCTCTGAAATGCAGCTGCTTCTTGGGGTAAAACACGACCACGAGGACCAAGAAACACTGTGTACATTTTTGATTGGGGTTGCAGGAGGGATTTAGGTAGGATGGAAGTAACTCCCACCCTGGAGGTGGGAATCAACCGCAGCCCTGCAGTTGGCTCTAGCACCTAAGCGTGCCTTGGGGGTCTTTGATACGGGGTGGTGGGTTCGCGAGCTTGCCTTGATACCGGGTGACTGCGGTCAGAAGTTGAAGTGTGCTGAGCCCAGGAGCCCTGTAAATCCTCCGTTAATGCTTTGCTCTGTATTGACCAATGTGCATTTCTATTTATTTTTCTTTTCCAGCCCCAGCAACAGCAGGTGGCTACGCAGCAGTTGGCCTTTCAGCAGCAACTCTTACAGATGCAGCAGTTGCAACAGCAGCACCTCCTGTCTTTGCAGCGTCAGGGGCTGCTAACGATCCAGCCTGGCCAGCCTACTCTGCCTTTGCAACCCCTTGCACAAGGTAGGTGAGGGGTTTGGGAGCCGCCGGCTGTCTGGCAAAGTGATAGCAGGCATGCACACGCGCACAACGGTGTCACTCGGCGAGAGAGGGAGAGAGATCTCATAGGCTCGTAAAATAATAAGCACAGAAAAATCCTGACAGGCAGGGTAGGCATTATAAAGATATTTTATGAGAAGGGCAACGCTGAAATTCTGGACTGCTCCGGCTGGCAGGAGGCAGGCGGTTTGGAGTTCGGATTCAATTTGCACAGCTATAGCCGGTCTGGCGGGCTCGAAGCTGCTGGTTGTACTAATCTGGACGTGAAATCCTTCACAGGAGGCATCTTAATCGATTCTTGGTGCTGGGTTCATGGCTAAGGATAGCGTGAGAGCAGCTTTTCCTTTTTTAGTGTGTCATTTGGGCCCTTTCTGGTTGCAGCCCGGCGAGGAGCTGGGCGCGGAGGAGCTCTGATCCACACGCTGCTGAACTGTAGAAATTGGATTGCCCTTTGTGGCAGCGGAGAGGGAGAGGTGGCAGTGTCTCCTCTCCACGCCTGTTTACACGGCCTTCAGTTCGCTGCCTGTGTGCATCAGGCTTCGTTCCTGCTTCCACACTGAGGCAAATTGGGATTAACTCCCTTTAATTTTAATGGTGTTATTGACAATTAGATTCTCCTACATCTTTATTCAGTCCTGCACTCTGCAAGGACTTACAGCTTTGCTGAAATCCCTACTTTTTTTAAAAAAAGATGCTAATACATTGTAGGCAAGAACTACTTACATCACAATACTTCTGACAGTGATTACAACCTGGGGTTTTTGTTCTCTCTTTTCGTCTTTGGCTTGAATATTTATTTTTTTTTAACTGGGTTTGTCTGTAAGCCTTGGGACATTTTACCAGACTTGCCTGAGCTCTGGCTGCAGTGACTAAGGCAGACTGTTTGAAGTTGGCAGGGCTCAGGGAAGACCAGGTCTTTCAACCATGGTGCTGGTATTTCTGAATAATTATGCCTTTTCCTTCCCTTGCCCCGTAATGTATTTAAACATCGCCCTCAACAACTCGAGTCAGCTCAGGTTGAATGATTTGGGCTCTTCAAAGCAGCCTTAGGGCTGCTACTAGTTGCTAAACCATACACTGAGTTTACGTTCAGCTCTGTTCAGCTAATCTGGGGGATGGGACAAAATTGCTTCAGTTCTTCACCCTCCTTTTTTGTGTGTAGCTGTGAAAGGAGTGTGAGGTGACTGGTGAATATGAACTTACATGGATAAAGGGAGACAAATCTGGGTGGTGGAGGCTGCTTTGCCGTGTAGCTAACCTGGTTTATTTAGACTTATTTTTGCCTAGACCCAAAAGGTATTTGAGCACTTAACTCCTGTCTTGAGAGCCTCAGCTTTTGGGGACCTGACAAGACTCAGTTTAGCTTTCCGGCACCCCAGAGCGGGACACCTGATCTGGACCGGCCCTGTGCATGAGTCGGACGTGTGAAGGGGGTGCCTGGTTGGGAGCTGCAGGATCAGGCCTGGGGCGGTTAGGTGGTCGGGCACCGTCGATGCGTGGCGTGATGGGAGAAGGCATGAAACGAGTCCAGGAAAAAGGGCATGTAGATGAAATGCCATTTATACTCGCAGACTGTTGTAACGTGCATTAATTACACTTCAGATTTATTGTTGGAAGCATCCCAGGCTATTCCCACACACCCACCGGACTCAAGCTTCAACCTTTCTAATTTTTCCCACAGCTCCTATAGCATTAAGTTTGCTCGGTGAGGTTCATTGTATAGTCCATCAGTTAAGCTGTCCAGAGGAGGGCAATTGGGCAGTGACAAGACACGCTCATGTGTAATGCGAAAGAAATGAATGTGGTGATGCATGAAGTGTAATCTGTGCGGTAACACGTCGGAGACACCAGTAGGTAATTCAGCAGTCGTGGCATTGATGGATATGGTTAGCAGGGTAGTGTAACTATTAGTCCTTGCCGAGAAGCGTATTTAAAACCTAAGGGGTGCCGACTCGCATGCCGGAGACGACATAAACATCGGCAGAAAGGGCTGGTTCTTGCAGGGAAATGAGCTGCGAGCGCTGGGGGCGGCTGGAGCCGGGGGCTGGGCGGCGGGAGGAAGGAGCAACTTGAGAATTGGGGCAGGTTGCAATACAGCACGGTATTTTATTTTTTTTTTATCAGCCAGACGATGGCTTAAAACTGATGTCATTATGAGGTTTAAATCAACTTTCTGCTTGCTTGAACATGGTCACCTGGGTATGGAGGTACAAGGACACAAAGAGGTTGAGCAACTCTGTTTGTCTTTGAGGCCGGTGATACCTGGGGTTGGGAAATTGAGTTCCGTGAGCAGTAATCTATCAACTGTCCCCACAACATACATTTTTTAAACCTGCGCCTACATTTTCTTTCATAATGAAGGGGACTAGTTGTCCTGAAAAATGCAATGAAGTGCCAGGGCTATAGTTTAAAATAATTGGTAATGGACACTTCTTACTTCAGAAAAAAATGGCATGTATCGTGCCCTTTTGTTTTCCGAACAGTTTGCAAAACTGAGACGAATACTGTAAATGTGCCTATAAAAAATAAAATCGTCCTTCTAGTAGATGTAGCTATGAATTTGGTTAAAAGCATTTTGCTTTTATTCTTAACTATCTGTAATAGTAATAAATGTTTCTGAGGAGAGACTGCTACTTTGTAAATGATATTTTTGTTATGTTTTTAGAATTAATACGTTGTCTAAAGCTATATTTTAGTTTCATTTTAGTTTTCAGTGCTCGCCTATTGTCTTACACAAAATAGCACATCCTTGAATGTTATATTTGTGCAATCGTTGCTGCTTGCTATTTAGACACAGCTATAATCTAGGTTTTACATCTCTGCATAGTAGCAATTTAAAAATAAACCACATTTCAGCAGCGTTCCGAGCTGCGAGAGCTAGATAGTTAGTGTCTGCAAAATCAAACTGCAGATCACACTCCAGCGAGTGCAAATAATAGGACTGAGACTGGTAGGTTCCTGATTGCTCCCGTAGATTTGGCCGTTGCGGGTCAGAATCCCGTTCCCGGTACGTACGAAGTTACGGCACCGGCAGTAGCGATCTCGGGTAATTGCAGCGCAGTTCTGGGAATCTGACTTAAAATTTAGCTCTCGCTGTTAAAATGAAACTGCTAAATGGTAAATTACATAATTTATTGCAAGTGTTCATGGATCTATTTGACTTGCTTTTACCATTTGTTCTATTATTTTATTTAACCATTTTGCTGGATGAGTAATGAGCATACCTTTCGGCTGCCCAGTTTGACAGGCTAGTTAGGAATTCTCTTCAGAATTATTCTAAAAGAACTATATTTGGGGAAGGAGGAGGAAGGGTTTTTTTTGTAATTTTATTTTATTAATCAAATGATGTCAATGACGTGGCCATTTCTAAGTGATGGGTTGTGTGCAGAGGTTCATGACATCACAGTTAACTCTTTAATATCATCCAGCCTGAAATCCTCCTTATTATCTCCAGTATTTTCCCCCACGCCCCCCCAACTGGGTGTTTATCTATAATTTTTCTTTCAATATGCGGTATAGTGTTAGTGCTAACAGGAGTTACACTGGTGTGGGAAGTTGGACCAAACCCCTTGGTTTTTAGAGGATCTACAGCCATTTATAAATATCGTGTGTGTGTGTATATTTTAACGACTAACGCTTGCAGGGTTTTCCTTGGGATGAAGCATTAGTAGGTCGAGAAGTGACCAGGAGGAAAGGGGAAGGGGAGTGGAGACAGGGGGACAGGGAGAGAAGGAGGCAGTGCTAGCCCGTCTCTAATTACAAACCTGCAGAAATCCAGATGAGGGGGTGGTGGCACAAAAAGAAAAGGGAAAAAAAAAGCCAGTTATTCTTTCACTATTTGCTTATTCTGGAAAATAAAAATAGGTGTCGACTCATGCGGTCTCGTATCAATATGTTATCATCAACAGACAAGTCTATTCACTATTGTTCCAATTGAGTAAACAGTGGTGTAGGGGTCAGCCCTGCTCGCAGGTAATTGTTAGTGCGCAGACAGTCCTGTCAAGCGTGTTAGCTAAAAATACATCCCACGCTGTCACTTCGCAAGGTGTTTGAAAATAATAGCCCCCGTACAGGAAAACAGGACACAGGCTTGTGTACTGACCTTTTTCTTTGTTTAATTTGCTCAGAGGTTTAATTTCAGGGGACAAGTAATAATTGAATATGTCTAATAACTAAATGCTCATTTGGGACAAAATCCATCAAAATATAATTGGCATTTGGGGCTGATGAAAGGAAAATGACATGGCTGTGGAGAAACGGATGTGTCCTAAGAATATCTGATCACTTAATGTATAAATTGAAGCCTCTTTCATAATATATATTAATTGCAGATACTTAAGGATTTTAGCATTTTTTTGTAGAGAACTGTTACCGGAGACCAACTGTTTTTGTTAATGCTAGTCTGGGAAAGGCGGGGAAGGTTATTGGTCTGTCGTGCAATAATTTACTCCTCTTTGATATGCAAACGATCCACGGTGAATATAAAAAAATCCTATCAGACTCATTTCACAGTTCTTAACCACTTAGATTCTCTGGAGTCTATCGCCTCATTAGACCAGTGCTCTCCAAAGCTAGCATAATTAAAATCTTTAACAGTTTAGCAAAGTAAAGATGTTTGGCTGATCACGTTGAGATGATTATCTATCCATTGTATTCTAAATGACAAAAATAAATTAAATTTAGACCTTGGCATTTTTTATTATGTGTTTCAAATGAATATAATGCATACTGCCTTTTTTTTATTATTATTATTTCAGTACCTTGGGTTGGGTGAGATACATGCCTGTGTGAGCTGCTGCTGTACACTCAGAAAATGGCAGGTTTCCTTAGGATAGCTCCAGTGCTACAATACGCTGAAACAATGAACAGTCATCCAGATGATGATCTGGAAGTGCAGCGATGAGAAACCTCTTTAAAAACGCACAGACGCTGCCTTTTATTATGTTTTTTTCCCCTGAATATTTAAGTGATGCATCTCTAGTGCTGATTTGTTCCCATGGCCTCCTCCGAAAGAGCACTGGAACAGTCTTCAGCGAGAGAAACTTGACTTGTTTGATCATGTCGCAAGCGTAAGCTTTACCCAAAAGCAGGATCTCGGCGTGAGCCCATGTCACGCCGACGTGCGCAGCTCCCCTTCCCGCCTCCGCTTCGCCCCACCGGAGTTTTCTCTTGCCTTCTTCATTGCATGCTGTGTCCTGAGCCTGCTGTCCTCTTGGCACAATTAAAAAAAGGGTTTATTTTTTATTATTATTATTATTTCTCAAAGCTTATTTTATGTTTTCACTTTACTTTTGAATGGCTCATTAGCATCCATCTAAGAAATGACAGTAATAATAGTGTTACTTGTATAGAAAGTTACACAGTTTTTCAGTAGACACATCCATCAATTAAGTGAGCAGTTCAAGAAACCAAAATTAATGAGAAAGATAGGTGTGTTAATGAAATAATCATAGTATAATCAATTTGACTGTTAAAATTTGAAAAGCATTTCAGGAAGACAATATGAATTCATAATTTATGTCTAAAAGTGATTAATAAAAACTGTATTTAATAACAAAGCTATTTGTCATCATTTAAAACTTAAGCACAAAATTAGTCATATTGTGGTTCATGTTGTCATAATAATAAAGTTGAGTGTTTTTTTTCCTGAGACCTTCCTTTCTTTTAAAAACAGGTTAGAAAGTATTCATTCTCCTAAAAAAAAAAAAAAAAATCGAATTTAAATTTCTCCAGCCGACTGCAGAGTAGCCCTTGGCCACCTTTGCTGTCTGCCTTGCTGTGAGCTTGGGGCCATTTCTGCCTGAGTCGGGATTGTGGAAATGGGCCCTCTGGGCTAAAAATTATAAAAAATACTACTGCTACTAACTAACATGGTGTTTGGGGGCGGGTGTCCTTTTGTGTGGATCCCCCTGCCTCACACCTCGGATTTGCCTTCCATAGGTATTGCTGGGCTCCCACCAGAAAATTTAGCAGCGACGTGCAACGTTCAGTATTAGCCTTTAGTTATTAAAAAAAAATACATGCGCAAACACACACACACATCTAACACTAGGCTTTGTTTACTGACTCTTTGATTTAATTACTGTTTGAAGACGGCCGAATTAGCTGTTAATTGATTTAATTATCCAATTTGTTTGTTTCAGGCATGATTCCAACAGAACTGCAGCAGCTCTGGAAGGAAGTGACAAGCTCGCACACAGCGGAGGAGGCGGCCAGCAACAACCACAGCAGCCTGGACCTGTCCACCACCTGCGTCTCCTCCTCCGCGCCGTCGAAGACCTCCTTAATCATCAACCCGCACGCCTCAACGAACGGACAGCTCTCGGTCCACACTCCTAAACGGGAGAGGTAGGTGCCGGTGGGCTTTCCACCCGTCAGCGTCTCCGAACGGCGTGCCGAAAGGATGGCAGGGTTGTTGGGAGCGGTGGCCAACCGCCTTGGCCTCGGTTTTGTCCTCCACGTCCTGCTCTGCCTGATTTTGGCGTGGCTGAATGGAGCCTCCACTGGGCAGAATACGCTCCTTTTGTTTAGATCTTTATGGCTTGTTAATTGGATCAATGTGGGCACAATTAGCTAATTAGAAGTGCATTGGATAAGCGTACTGGGGGAAGTGTGAAGCAGTGGTTTTTTGAGTTTTGCTTCACGGGGGATGTTCCTCTTGATGTGCTTTGGCTTTGCAGACTGGAGGCGAGGCGGAAAAAAAAAGTGTTGGTCAGTACAGGCTGTTCTACTGCCCGTTGTCCTGCCAGATTGCAGCACCCCTTCTCACCTAACACATCTGCCTTCTTTCCTCTGTATTTACCCCCTTTCACAAGACAGAATAGGCTTGAGTTCACCAGGTTTCTCTAAAACAAAGTGGGCATTTTTTTTAACCGCTGATAAAATTAGCTAACTGGTGTTGTTTGGCTTTTAAATGTGTGAGTTAATTTATACTTGCTAGGCTTGCCTTGTCAAAAGAAATGGCTTAAATCAGGGGTTGTCTGTTGACATGCTTCTCGGCGCGGCTCTGCTTTATTCCAAAGGATGCTTTATTGCAGGTTTGTTTCTTTACACCCCCAGATTTCACTGAGGCGTGTCTAACAACATAACTTTTGCTTACGGTGAGATAGACGGTCCCAGGAGCTCGGGGTGCCAGTGCCTGCTGCAGCCTCGGCAGCGCTGCTGGCGGAGGAGGAGGAGGGTCTCCGGGAGCGCGCGTGCTGCGTGGGCACACCGGGGAGGGCAGCGCTTCTTTGCATTCAGGAGAGTCCCCTTGCCCATCTAGAAATGTTACAGCAGACGCTAGTGGAAGCTGGATTTTATGGAAACTGATGGCTTTGTCTTTCCATCCTCCTTTCATTCATTAGAAAGAGGATAATGGAATTTTTAAGCCATAGAGTTTATATTTCTGGGGGTCTGAAAGTAGATTGATAGGAAAGCTATATAAATACCTCTTATGTCTTTCTAATATTAAGAAAATAGTGCTGTTGGGAATAGATTTTAAAGGAGAGCACACCCACTGTTGGAAGAGCTGCTGTGTGTAAGGCATCGTTTCATGTCCGTTGCAAAGACGTGTGGGGGAACCTCAGCGTACGCATTTATAATGCATGTAAGTGTCAAGGACATGGTTTTCATGAAGACTTACATGGGACACTAAAAAACAATTTGCTGTTTATTAAACAATTAAATTCCCTCTTTGCTGCATATAGAGCTGAACAAGATGGGTTTATGACTTTTCAATAAATTTTTTATCCATGTTTTTCTTACCGAGTATATAAAACAAAAAACCCATGCGGTGAAATGGATCCTCTTTCACTGAACAGAGGCACGTGCTGTCTGCTAATGGCAATCCAGCCGAGGAAACAGTATGCCATTGCTGTTGAGTTTGAAACGCAGTGGAAATGCAGGAATCTTTCTGAAGTAAGAATTGTCTCTGTGGGTACTGTCAAGCAGAACTGGAAATCCATGTGTCTGAGTCCTGTAATTGTGACCTGGAGGCAATTGGGTATCTACAAACAAGGTGATACGTATGTTTTTATTAGTAAAGTTCCAAGTAAATTAATTAGGAAGGCATAAACATGCCATGGTATTGTTCGTGCTTGTCTTAGTTTAGAAGACTTAAACTCCTCAGTAGTTGAATTGATAGCTGTATTGTTAAGGCTTGCCACAATACTTTCCTTACATATGTATTGAGTTCTCTCCAATATCAAAATACAAACCCAGGTATTTTTAGGAATACAAATAAGAGAGCTGCAGACTTCGCTTTGTCTTGGCCTCTGTTTGGTACACTGAAGGTTTATGCCATCCATTTGCTGCAGTGATTGAATTACATCTTTATCCATAAGTAGAGCAGGAGACTACACACAGAAGAAAGCCTACTGATGCACTTAAGGGTTTTGTTGCAGTCTCATCAGGCACCGTGGTGCCTGCCTGGATTTCATATGACGCGCAGACTCCTCTCGCTGAGATGTGTTGCACCCGTCTCCTTTCTGAAAGGGTATTTATCTGCCAGCAGGGTGTTTGGCGAGGTGAGGGAAGGATTAGCATTGCTCCACTGTCAGGTGTATAGTTGAAAGCTCACAGAAGGTGAAATTTTAGCACACCTGCAGAAGAGAGAGCACAGGCATCAGTAGGGTTTTGGTGATTTTCTGACTGCAAAGGTTAAGACCAGGGGAATTCCACGGGTCTGGTGGGAGCACGAGTTTGCTAGACTAGAGTGAAATCCATGTTGTGCCCAGCTGGTTCAGTGCAACAACCGAGCTTGCAAATACAGGGGGACTTGGGGAGGTGGTCCCTGGCCCAAGCTGTGGTCACATGTGGCTGTGGGAAGGGCCCACAAGGGAAATATCAGCCCTCCTGCTGCCTGACACAAGTCTGCAGCTGGGGCTGGCCAGGGCAGGTTTTTAGGTTGTGGCTTCTCCCCTCTCATTCCTGCACCTTCTGTGCAACTGGCTTTGGGCTGATACAACCAAGAGCTATTTATTTAGATTTAAACAATAAAAAGCACATAGTAAAAGCTGTAAGTGTCCTAACAGTTAAGCTCAGCCACATCGTAACGACTGCCCAGCAGCAATAAATAATCATATACAGGTAACATTAACTTTCAGGGTGTGCCGTAAAGCTGTTTTCCGCCCCCCTCCCCCTTGGGCTTTTGAGAAGGAGTGGGCTGCAGAAGGCAGGTTGGTTACGTGGGAGTTACTATCATCACTGGCATCTCTGGCACTTGTCACCGGGATAGTTCAGGCTGTGTTTTACGGAGTTCCTGATCCCACAGGTCAGGTGGCGAGGCTGCTCGAGACCTGTGAGACAGGAGGCACTCAGCTGACCGCAGCAGCAGCACCTGTGTAAAAGTCATCGGGCGAGCAGCTGAACGTCTTGGGTAAAAACACATTCTGGTTATAAACAAGGATTTAAAATAGCAGGAGAAATAGTCATTGGCTGCTCAGCATGCCCACGGCTCGCTGTGCCTCCGGCCCAGCCCTCGCAATTGTGCACAGGGAAGACTTAGTCCTGCGGGGACACAGCTCTGGTGTCACCGGTGACGCTGGCCACGCTGCGGCTGCTGGGGCAGCCACGCTAGGACCCGAGCGACAGCAAAAGTGGCACTTCATGGCGAAAAAGCAAATGGGAGGTGGCCAGGGTCACCCCAGGATGTTTGAAAAGTAAAGATAGGTTCAAAAGCAGGAGGCATCCTCTGCTCCTGGGTGCGGGCCGAGGAGCATCGTGGTGCTGCTCTCGGTTTCTGCGTGCTCTGTGTGTACCGTTTCCGCAGGAATGAAACAATTCCAGCTATAAATAATGGGTTAATGCTTTCATTCATTTGGGCTTTAAACGTATATTACATCTATGCTTTTGTCCCACATTTTGCCCGGTTTCTGTAAGTAGCAGCAGCAGCAGCTCTGGGGTTTGGTGCACAGCAATCTGTTAAGGAGATAAATAATCTGCTTTGGCATGACACTCCTACTCTCCTCTTTAATTTGTCTTACACAAGGAAAATTATAATTAAATCATTCAGGGTAAACCCTTGAGTGTAGAGAAGGAAAAAACACACTTTGGTAAAGATTGCCAATAGAGACCAACTTCCCTGTTGTGCCGTGCAGAGACATTTATCAATATTCAGCACTATTAAAGAGAGAACATTTCGTGTGATTTGTGAGGCGGATGCCAAAGCTCAAATCAAGGCTTGTTAAGATCCTTTCCCCATGCAATCATGGGCATTCAGCATCATTAGAATTCAGCACTGACTGTGTGTTTCATGCTTTGATTTTACTCAGACAATTTAATAATGTTTATTGTGCTGATTATATATATAAATTCACTCAATGCAATAAACATACCTCAGTCATCAGTACCCTAAGGGAAATATTTAGTTATAGATACTTGTATTCACTCAGGATAAGCGAAAGTGAGACCATCAGCCAGCATGCAAACCTCTCATCATCTTATCAGCATTTGGGTTTCTTCAGTAACACGCATTTTCTCTACACAAGTAAATACATAAATAACGGGAGCCAGTTAAGTACATCTGCTGCGCTTAGAAACGTCAGGGACAGTACCCGCTTTTCGTCTTGATCCCCTGCATCTTATCCGGGGGAAGCTTGATTGTTTTCTTAAGAAAAATGGGAAAACAAGGCGGTTGGATGCCCGGTTGCTTTAGGTGACCGCAGACTTTATAACCTGATGAGCAGTGGGCGTCCCAAAACCTGTGTGCTTGGGAATATTCCCGATACGTATAGGTTTGGCAAAGCAGAACAGTGCAGAACTCATCAGTGCTTTGCAGTGAGCGGAGCTTGCCCCAGCTGTGCTGGTCCCATCCCCTGGCACCATTCTGTATTAACTGCAGCAGCGACAGGCGGTACGTAAACAGGGAGTTAATGACGGTCCCGACCTGTTAATTCAGGAAGTGCAGAAGCTAAGGTGAAGAAGATTGGGAGGTAGAGGCTGCATGTCCAAGAGACCTTTCTCCATCTGCCAGCAATCCCATGTTTGTCCCCTGTTGCCTTTATACCTTTTCCAACGATGCTTGAGTCTTGTCCTTCCACATGAGCAAGCAGCCCTCTCATAGGAGAAATAGGTGGGATAAACAAGGTGATTTTTAAATGCCTTTTCTGGCCAGCATCGCGGGCGGAAGGAGTCTGGAGAAGGCTCTGAAGGGAAGCGAGAGGAACGGCATGGCAGATCGTTGATCTGCTGGTTAGGCTTAATGCATTGTGTTTTACTGTTGTTATCTTCCGTGCCAGCTGATCCCCCATCAAAATCCCAAGGCCCTGAGATCGGGGCATTAGGATTCAGCACAATTAAGAATTACAGACTTCGGTCTATTATTAATGCTCGGGATGAAACAGTTCAGCCTGCAGTCCATACGCTCC